TCATACTCGCTGTTCCATTTCCAATAGCACACTAGACAGAGCAAAAACAACAGAACCTTGTACCTCCTGATGCACTGCATTGCTCCATCTGTACCATCCACCTCTGTAGTTATTGTGATCCCTGTGTGATGTGCTGCTCATCACCCTGACTTCTCTCTGTTCCAGCTGCTCTCATCCAGCAGGCCACCACAGTCAAAAACAAGGATATCAGGAAGTTCTTGGATGGGATTTACGTGTCTGAGAAGGGAACAGTTTTGGAACCGGATCAGTAAACGCTATATCTGCATTCATAGAGGTTAGAGAACGTGGTCGAAGCCTCCTCTGTGGTCTAGAGGAGGCCCTCTTCTGTTTTCACCCTCTCCATGTTCCTCACACTGTCATTGTCACTGGTGTTAAATTGTCTGTTTTTTCTTAAAACTGTTCTGTTCCAGAGGTCTGCAATTTCATGTTTTATGCAGTACTTCGCTAATCTACATTACTGCTGAAAGAGACTTGAGTTTGATATTAAGGTTGGACAATAAGATAAAAAAAAAAAACTGCACAGCACTGAGTGCACACACCTATACCAAGGCAGCTCAGTTTCCCCATAATGCCATTACATCTAAAAGCAATATTGCTATGATTGTTTGACCATCATAATATGATTTCTTGACCATGAAAACCTAGGCTAATCATTGCATTAGGAATCACACTGAAATCATTATTAGATTGAAAGATATTCGACAAAGGGGCTCTCGCATAGTCAACAGCTTTTCCAACACTCAAAATGGTTAAGAATCCTTTTTTTAAAAATTCTTGGATCCAGTTGATGATCCGGATCAGCACCAAAATCTAATGGCTTGTTCTGTGGCCGGACCCTGCCTCTCAGTGTCACCAAAATCCATCCATTAGACTGAGTTATGCTGTGAACAAACACGCCAGCAAAAGCACTGCTATTATTAATTTGATTAAATTTCAATCCGTAGTGTTTTTATAATAGTTTAGTAGTTAATTTGGCCGACAGTTCAGTAAAGTGATCTGTGATCATATCATCACAATATGATCACACTAATAAACTATTGCCCAGCCCTGTGCTTGCTGCTTCAGATGGTTTGTTGGGTTTTAGTCTTCGTTTTATCGCCTATATTTAACACTAACCACAGCATGCATGTACAATCAAAGATATTGAACCTTAGCTGTTTTGGTTGTTTTCTAAAGAAACATTAATTGTGCATGTAATACAAATGGTCCATTTTCTCCCCCCACCAGTTGCCTTGACCCAACAGGCCGCTGCGGTAAGAAAGGAGGACAACAGGAAGTTCCTGGCTGGCATCTACATCAACATGAAGGCCACTGTGGTGGAGTGTGATGCTGAATCAATATTTACCATGTTCTCTGTGACAATTAAAGCTACAAACTTTTCCATTTAATCTGTCCAGTGGTTCTTTGTCACCTTTATTTGACTTTCATTGCTGCAGGTCGGACTGGGTTTAGTTAGCCCTTAGTAATGTACAAAGGCCATACAGTATATAAAGGAAGGAAAGCTGCTTCCCAGGAAGTACCGTCTCCTCAGTCCCACAGCAAAAACACTGGAAATCATTAATATGGCTTCAGATAATGGAAATGGCTGCAGACTACAGTGTAAGAATCTGCATTAAAGATGCCATCTTTAACCTGTCAACACAGGTGATGATTAGCAGCAGCACAGCAGCTTAAAGGGGCTGGTGAGGGGGCAGACGGCGTCCTCTGGTGGGCCCTCTGAAATTAAATACTGGGGGGAAAAAAACAGCTGCTTGTTTCGCTGCCTCTGCCTGTTTTTAACTACTGCCAGCTTGCCGTTCACACACAAACAACCCCACTAAAGAAATGCACAAAGCATTTGCAAGCTCTCTGATTTCAGAAGATAAAAAAAAAAAAAAATAATCCTTTTTTTTAAAGAATACCTTGATGCTGTCTGATGTGATCAATGTTAGACTTGTCAATCATTTTATTCTGCTACAGCAAAATGAAGACATTTTATTCTTTACATGCCTGAATATAATTTGTTGATCTACATTCACTGGTGCTGTTTTTGTAAACAGTTTTATAAATATATCATTTATCATTCCCAGCAGACTGGCTAGCATCCTGCCTACTGTTATGTGAGGCTTGCACTCAACCTGATTTGTCTATTGGACTCTCAGTCAACACATTCAGCACTGCAACTTGCTCTAGGTGATCTTCCTAACTTTCTAACAACCACATAAAGGTGTGTATTCCCTTTAGTGGAATGATGGGGCTTGTACAGCCCACAGGTAGGTGCTGTTCATATTTGCCGAGCTCTAGTGGGAGATATCTACACATTTTAGAGGGAGACTAGTTTCTCTGTAGAGCAGCATTTTCAAATATTTGGTTTTAAAATTACTGAGCCATTTGTTCACATTACAGATGAAAACGGAGGCAGGAAAACTTCCACTGTCCTGTTCAGATTCTTTGTACAATATTTCACATTGTCCACTTGGATTTCTTGCTCGGTGACAGCATGTCATTGCCTAAGAGATGTTTATGTGTTACTGTCCACAGTACAGGTCTCAGGCCTGATGGGCTCTTCTGTGATCACAAGGTGATAACTATTTTTCATGATCAACCTCACACATCTCGCTTTAGCTGTGTGCATGGGATGTGTATGTGGTGTATATATACTGCTCAAAAAATAAAGGGACCACAACAATAAGACATGAATGAATGAAACATTCTTATTAAATACCTTGTTCATTACATAGTTGAATGTCTTATTTTCCCTTGTGTTCCCTTTATTTTTTTGAGCTGTGTATGTGTGATTATTCTGAATTTAGAAGTCAGTTGTACACAGAACAGACTGTGTCTCGTCCCCCAATGCTTACACTGTAATTTCTTTAGAATGGGATATTTTTGAAGACGGCAGAGAACAAGGAAGATGCTTTCAACGTACATGAGGGCGTGAAGGTATTAAAACACACTTTAAAAATGTGACCATATTTTTAAACAGTGCCCATAATACATCACATGGGAGAGTGAAAATCTAAGTTGAGAAGTTGAATAACCATTAGAATGATCTACCAACATGATCAGATCAGTGTGTTTTTATGTTATGCTGATCAATACTGTAGCTGCATGCAAAATGTTAAGCATAATTGTTT